GGGAGAAAAAAAAGGGGTTTGTTGGGGGGGGTTTTTTTTAAAAAAAAAAAAAATTATTCGGGCAAGGTAGGGGGGGGGGGGGGGGGGGGGGGCGTCCTTTGGTCGGCCCGCCGCGGCACAGGTGTAGGCGGGTCGCGCCGCACCAACGCTTGTTGTATCGTCGAGCGGACTTTTCCGAAGAAGCGGACGGCGCGGTGCGTCGAGTGTGGGCGTAGCCCTCTGTCTGGGTGGCGCCCTGCTGGTGTGTTGCGAAATTGATTTTCCAATGGAACTTTGGAGTTGAGGAGATTCGTCACGAGTTAAGTCTTGTTGACAGCATGCTATGCATAGCATGCATGCATGTAGTCATACTCGCCTTTTTCCGGGCACACCGTCAAGTGTTTTTGATTCTCGCACAAACTCATTTTGTTGTGCGTGTTAACACTATTAGGCGAGATTGATTGGAAGTCATGGCCGGCAACAACAGGCACTTGCGGCATGCTTTGAGGTGGCGATTAACCTCCACGCATGCTTCAGATATCCGCAGGAGGGGGATCATCTGTTGACACCCTCGCGAACCGTTCATATCTGGGGAAGGTCCAAAACCGCATGACCTCGTCACACGAGCCGTAGTTTGTGGCGAACCGTGGCAACCTGCACAGACTTGTGTGCTTTCCTCTGCTTCGATCCACTTGATCAAGACGCCGACACAAAAAATACAACCACAAGATCACTCGACGCACCATTTCTATTCCGACGGCAGCAACACAGAAAAAAACCCACAGATGGGTACGTCGTCCGGCAAAGGAAGCTACATCAAGGAGCGGATAGAGACCAGCAAGTCTACCCTGATACAGGAAGCAACACCTCACATATTAATCTGTCCACGTAAATGCCTACATCAGCTATAATATCGTAATCACATACACACGAAGCCCCGCACGCGCGGGTACAACGCGGCAGTGTTTTCCATCCAACACCCCCAAGTAAACACCGTATTTCGCTCAACGGCCTTCACCGTGTGAGCAATCGTCCCTTCCACGTAAAGTGCCCACCATCGACATGTGTCACAGATACCCAATACGTAGCCATTGTTACCCTCCTCAGTCCCACGGCAATCTTTCTGTTTACCGAGGAGGGGCGTTTGGAGCGCCAGGCACGACGCCGTGTTGGACTCCACCCGCCTCTGCCGCAGCCGCTGCCGCCGCTGCTGCGGCCTGCTGCTGCTGCTGATGTAGTGCTGCGGCCTGCTGCTGCTGTTGCTGATGTAGTGCTGCGGCCTGCTGCTGCTGCTGCTGTAACGCTGCGGCCTGTTGCTGTACTACCGCCGCCTGCTGCTGCACTGCTGCCGCCTGCTGCTGCAGCATCTGTTGCTGTACGGCCGTGGTCTGCTGCAGCTGTGCCGCACCGACCTGCTGCTGCTGCTGCTGCCGCCGCTGCTGCTGCCGCTGCTGCTGCACTGCCGCGGCCTGCTGCTGTTGCTGCTGCAGCATCTGTTGCTGTCCGGCAGTGGCCTGCTGCAGCTGTGCCGCACTAGCCTGCTGTTGTTGCTGCCGCTGTACTGCTGCAGCCTGTTGTGGCTGTACGGCAGTGGCCTGCGCCGCACTAGCCTGCTGCTGTTGCTGCTGATATACTGCTGCGGCATGCTGTTGCTGAACGGCTGTGGCCTGCTGCAGCTGCGTCGCACTGGCCTGCTGCTGTTGCTGCTGCTGTACTGCTGTGGCTTGCTGTAGCTGTACTGCTGCTGCTTGTTGCAGCTGTGCCGCATTGGCCTGCTGCTGCTGCTGCTGCTGCTGCTGTTGTTGTGCTGCTACTGCTTGCTGCAGCTGTGCTGCTGCTGCTTGCTGCAGCTGTGCCGCACTGGCCTGCTGCTGCACCTGTTGCTGAACGGCCGTCGTCTGCTGTAGCTGTGCCGCACTGGCCTGCTGCTGTTGCTGCTGCTGTTGCTGCTGCTGTACTGCTGTGGCTTGCTGCAGCTGTGCCGCACTGGCCTGCTGCTGCTGCTGCTGTTGTGCTGCGGCGGCCTGCTGCTGCACCTGTTGCTGAACGGCCGTGGTCTGCTGTAGCTGTGCCGCACTGGCCTGCTGCTGCTGCTGCTGCTGCTGTACTGCTGCGGCCTGCTGCTGCTGTGCCGCACTGGCCTGCTGCTGCTGCTGCTGCTGCTGCTGCTGTACTGCTGCGGCCTGCTGCTGCTGTGCCGCACTGGCCTGCTGCTGCTGCTGCTGCTGCTGCTGCTGTACTGCTGCCGCCTGCTGCAGCTGTGCCGCGCTGGCCTGCTGCTGCTGCTGCTGTTGTACTGCTGCGGCCTGCTGCTGCTGCTGCATTGCTGCCGTCACCTCGTGAGATGCAGCCGGAGCAATTCCCACCGACCTCGATGCCGCTTGAGATGCCGCATGGTGTGCCGCTAGCAGCTGCGCGGGTGTTGCTGGGGGAGGTTGCGGTTCTCCGGCCGCGCCTCGGGCGGTTGCCGCCCAAGCGTTCCTTGCCGCTGCCTCGATCTTCGCCTGAAAATCTCGCATTTGTTCCGGGGTGGCATGCTGCAAGCCCTGAAACCACAAAGGCAATCCTGCAGGGGGCACCGCGAGGTTGAGCCCCGCAGGCGCCGCCGCCGTAGTGGGCTGAGGGGCACTACCAGCAGCGCCATTCCCACCACCAACGCCAACGCCGGCTGCTGCTGAAGCGGCGGCCACTGCGGCCGCGACACCCTCTCGGGCCTGTCCTGTCGCCGGACTTGGGTGTTGGTACGCCACCGGCGCGGCGACAGGGGTGTTGGCGTCCGCCGCCGGAGTCACCCTCGCCGAGGCTTGCTGAGCCAGAGCAGCAGCTTGCGCGGCAGCAAAGTGCTGCTGATTGTGTATGGCGTGTGACAGAGCAGCGGCCGCCACGGTGCCCGTAGCCGGCGCAGGAACGGAGGCGCCCGTGCCTTGCGCCTGGGTCGTGTGTCGGGCGAAAAGTTGGTGAGTGTACGTCGGAGGAGGAGGAGCGGCAGGGGCCGGAGGAGCCGGAGCCGGAGTCGGTGCCGTTGCTGGCGCCGGTGACGGTGCCACTGCGGGCACCGGAGGGGTCGCATACACGTGCGCGAAGCTTGCCGAGTGCGCTGGTGTTTGAGGAGCAGGGGCTGGGACTGGCGCCGCCGGCGTGTACGAATAACTCGCCGAGTGCGCCGCCGCCGCCGCCGCCGCCGCTGCCGCTTGCCCGGTCGCATGCTGTGCCAAATAGGGCGCCGGTTCCGTCGACTCGGGGACGATCATCGGATGATCCACCCGCGTAACCATGGTGCGGTGGGCTTTGCACTTCCCTTTGTGCATGCACGGCCGCATACACAGGGGAGACAATGGGCACTGATAGAAGAACGACCACGCTCGGGGGAGGTCCCCCGGGAGCCGGCTTCCCCCCCGACGCGGACGCGGGATGATGTCCCACCGAAGCGCCCGATCCAGCGCGAACACCCGAGTGGCGGCGGCGGCCAGCGACGAGCCGCCGCCCAGCCGGGGCTCGGCAAAGTTCTCCGTCTTGTACCACTGCTCGAGCCAACCCTCCTCTCGGGGGATGGCGTAGTCCAACTCCAGGGCTAGGATCGCCAGCTGCTCTGTCGCGTCGGCGCGCCGCACCCTCTCCCGCCAGTCCTCCAGATCCACCAGCATGGAGACCACCTGAACGCGCGGGGGCTCGGGGGCGGGAGGCGGCAACGTGATGGGCAACACAGCCTGCTGCTTCTGCTGCGGGGGCTGCTGCTGCTGCTGCTGCGGCCGCGTCGCTTGCTGCTCCGGTTTCGGCTGCACTTCGGCGGCGGCGGCGGCCACTTGTATCAACGCTTCCGGTTGGGCCGGCGGACGAACAGACGGTGCCAGAGCAGCCGGCGGTGACGACGGCGAGAGCCGCGGTTCGTCCACTTTCATTGCGGTTGGAACCCCGGGCGCCGGCGCCGCCGGCACTGCCGCAAAAGACACGGGTGTCGCTGCTGCTGGTGCTGCTGCTGTTGGCCCAGGCTCTGCGGCAGCACCGCTGTTCGGCGTTGTTGCCGGCGTGACCACAGTATCGCTTCCCGAGACTGCTGCTGCAGCAGCCGCTGCTGCTGTAGTAGCGGCAGGCTCCACCGTCGACACCGCCATGTCGGACGGGTCGCCTCCCGACACCTCTGAGCTGTTCGTTGCGGACGCCGCCGCCGCCGCCGCCGCCGCCGCCGCCGCCGCCGCCGCCGCCGCAGTAGCAGCAGCAGCAGCAGCAGCAGCAGCAGCAGGGGCCTCCTCACCCACCGCCTCAACCTCTTCTGCTACCGCCTCATCATCTCCCACCGCCCCGAAATCTTCTTCGTCGCTGCTCGACTCCACCGACGCCCACTTCCCTTGCGCCTTCCTCACGAACGGCTGATCCGGGACGACCGGCTCGGGAGCCACCTTCGGCTTCGCCGGCGACACGGGAGGTGCTTCCCCGGGTGCCGCCTCTGCGGTGCCGCTGCCCGGCCGGTCCCCGCTCAATCCCTCGGTTCCGGCGCCGGCGCCGGAACCGGCACCGGCACCTCCGTCGGTGTTGGCCACATCCATGCCGATATCCACCACCTCATCATCATCGTCGCCGTCTACGGCTTCCTCCTTGCCGCCGGCCGATGCCGCGGTGGCGGCGGAGGTGGCGGCTTCGGCCACTTGTGTCTTGTAGGCCTCCTGCTCCTCGACCGCCTCCTTCAGCGCGGCGGCGAGCTCCGGCGCGATCACCCTCGACGGCTGGAAGAACTCCCCCGGCGCCATGGCCACGGGCGAGATCGGGCGCTGTCCATCGGGGGCGGCGCCGGCCATCGCCCTGGCCCTCGCCTCGGTCTCAGCGGCGGAGGCGGAGGTGGAGGCGGCGGTGGAGGTGTCGTCGTCGTTCTCGTAGCCGGCTGGCCGCTGCCGGATTCTTCCTCTGGATGACACGGACCGGACGGCGTTTACGCGTTCCCACTGCTGCGGGAGGCACAGCGCTACGGCGAGCATCTCCACCTGCGGTGTCCAGGAGCGCGGACCGGCGGCGAGGGAACGTGGGTGGGCATTTGCCCGTAAGCGCGTCGATTGGTGCGATCCGTTCAGTTCAAACAGTGCTTTCGTGACAGATACGTGACCAGTACAGGGCAACGTGCAGCAGGGTGAACAAAAACAATGTTCCCCCTGGTAAGCCCCTTCCGGGTTACAGCACGGTGCATTGGAGCCGACCTGCGCAGCGAAGCTCGGGTCTTTTTCGTCTTCTTCTACGTTGTCGCAAATCGAAGAAAAATGCGTGTGCCACACGCAGGCCCGACACACGTGGCATCAAAAGTCGTGCGCATTTGTCGAATCTGCACGACTGATGTTGCGAGCAGAAGCGGGAGGCCGGTTCTTGAGCAAAACAACGGGCCAGCCCCAGACAACAAAACGCGTCATCCTTCAGCACAAGGCTAGATAAACCACAAGGGTATCCCCGTCCGACCGTGCACCGACTCTTGTCAAAGCCGCAGGCACCCGCTCTCGTTGAAATTAACAATCCGCCGCTTTTTTTATCCATTCTCACCTTGAGTTTCACCATCTCCGGAGACACGAGCCCAACCGGGGCTACCGACGGTTCCCAGTACGTTCTTGACGTGTTCAAGTCGTCCTCGTCGAACCCTGGCAACGAAGCTGAGCCAGGCCTGTACTCGCGCACAAACGGTAGCAGGACACACACATATTGGAGCATGGCGGGCACGAGACACCCAACAGAGGCACGCGGAAGTGAGAGGGGGTGATGGTCCGTCCTTGACGTTCAATGACATTCTCAAATTTCAACAGGTTCTTCCAGATTCAAGACCATCCCTTTCCAACAGAGGCGTTGCCGTTGGTAAAATAGGTAAGACAATGTACAACCTGGGCGAGGCACGGAGCATGAAAAATAACACCGCCTTGCCCAGCCTGGGCACGAAAAAAAAGGCCTCTACACAAGGTGTCTTCCCAAACAGTCAAAAAGAGAAAACAGCAGTGCCAGATCCACAGTCTCAAAAAGTGGCTCCGAGTCATCAAAGCGTCGGGACAACCAACTCACCTCGGCGAAAGCGTTTCGGGGCCACCCTTACGGGTCTTGGCACCCGCGGCGGCCCCCTCCAAGGAGAGCGCCACGCCCATCCCCGGGGCAGCAGCAGCAGCAGCCGCACTCCCCGCTGTTGCGCCACTACCACCCCCTACAGCCACCGCCGCCGACGCCTCTCTCACCGCTGCTCCTCCTCCACTCGCCGCAGCAGCACCTACGCCGCCCTGCCCGCTCCCAAGCGCCAGGCCAGCGCCGCCGCCGCCGACGGCAAGCAGGTTCTGCTGAGGCCACGGTGGCGGCGGCGCCAGCGCGGCGGCCGCGAGCGCGTGGTACCT